CCCCCGCTCGCCCGGCGCGTCGGGCGGCCCGCGCGCCCTGCCGCCGGGCGGGGGCGCCAGGCAGCCGGAGCGCCGCCGCGGGGCCGTCGCGGCGCCAGCTCAGGCCCAGCCGCAGCCCGGGCGCCCGGTCGCAGGGGGTGCGACGACAGGGGTCTGAATCCCCCCCCCCCTGGCCCGTGCTCCTCCTCCTCCTCCTCCTCCTCCTCCTCCTCCTCCTCCTCCTCCTCCTCCTCGTGCCCCGCGTGCCCTCGCCGCGGGCCGCCGCTGCCGTGCTGGCCGGGCTGGGCGGGAGGGCCACCTCCGCCGCGGCGCGCTCGCTCGCCGAAGGAGGCGAGCCCTGCAGACTTCCCGCCAAGCCCCGCCTCGCCCTGCTCCGCCGCCTTTTTTCAGGGTTCAGCCTGAGTCCGCCAGAGGACGATAACGTTACTGAACTTCGCCTAGCGCTTGAGAAAAGCTCTATTCAGAGAGTGCGTTAGCCCCAAGGTGTGTATCCATCGAGGCCCTTCGACACGACGCAGGCGATGTAATCCCACCAGCCCTTTGGGCCAGAGGTGGTCTAACGAGATTCTTCCTCCAGACTTCCCACCAACCCCCGCCAGAATTCCTGCCAACCCCAGCCACGCCCTTCATTCTAAAACCCCCGGATATTGCTCAAGACCGGGGGTTCACATACACGATGCTCAGTTCTATATGTGCCAGCCTTCATGCAACCGCGGAGTCACGGGGGGGGGTTCTCGCCAGAGTCTTGTTCCCTGCTCCGCAGCCTTTTTCAGGGTTCAGCCTGAGTCCGCCAGAGGACGATACCTTTACTGAACTTCGCCTAGCGCTTGAGAACAGTTCTATTCAGAACGCGCGTTAGCCCCAAGGTGTGTTTATCCATCGAGGCCCTTCGACGCGACACAGGCCATTGTAATCCTACCGGCCCTTTGGGCGAGAGGTGGTCTAACGAGATTCCTCCTCCCTCTTCGAAAAAACCCTCTTCCCCTACGAGGAGGGGTATTACCCCTCCCCTTTACCCCTCCCCTGGACTTTTTTGGGGGGGGCGCGCGAGGTGTCAGGGCGTCCAAAACGGCTTCGGCGAGGAAGCCTACATCATTGGTTTTACTAGGGTTTTAGCTCCATTTTGGCTTTTCTTGGGGGGGCTGAAACATGTCCCACCAGCCCTCAGGGCGCCCAAATCATTGGTTGTACTAAGGTGTTGGTCCCATTTTGGCCGCTTTGCGGGGGCTGAACGTTATCCCACCAGCCCTCTGGGCGCCCAAATCATTGGTTGTACTGAGGTTTTGGCCCCATGTCTGGCTTCTTTATGGGGGGGGCTGAACGTTATCCCCGCTCCTCCTTTGATCGATGGCCTTCAAGATGGCCCCGAGAGGCCTTCCACGGCTCCACGCACAATATGCAGAACAAGACAACACTTGTAAACATAACGGCGCCGCAGCACGAGCGGCGGCGCCGGCACGCCAGGGCACGAGGCACGACGCCAGCGACGGCGCCCACCACGCCGACGACGACCACGACGCCGACGGCGCTGGCGACGACGCGATTCCATAGCTCCAGAGGTCCCGACCACCCCCTGGGGTTTGCTGGCTCCGACGGCCCCCCGGGGCCCGATGACGGCCCTGTGGGCCCAAGTCGAGGCAGATCGTCCGGCTGGAGAGCTCACATCGTCGGAGATCTGGGTCCGGGCGTTGGCAGAACTGGGTGAAGTGGAACCTGGTTTAGTCATTTGTGCCCGGGGCGCCCCCCCGTCCCATCTCCACTAACCAGAACTGCCGTCACCCGACAAACACCAGCCACGGCAAACCTGGTTTGGTGAACCTGGCCAAGTGAGGGGCCCCAGGGCCCTGCCACTAACCGGGTCCCCTGACACGGGGTCCTGGCTATACCCGATGGGTCCTTCATTGATGAACCAACAACACACACACCCATACCCATAGGGGGGTCGGAAAGGGCTATGGGTGCCTGTTGTCGGATGGGGGTCCCCGCTCGAACGGGAGCGTTCCCTAGGGTCCGACAACCCGCACCCATACCATTAGCCAGTCCTCCTCCCAACGACCCCCTCGTGGGTATGGGTGTGTGTTGTTCGTTCGTCATTCGTTCCTGCACCCTGCTTGGGGATCGCGCCCGAGGGGCGGAGCCAGCCCGTTGACGGACAGCATGCCGGCCCCGAGCCCAGCGGCGCCCATGGCGAAGCCGGCCGCCGACGCCACGGGCAGGGACAGCAGTGCCCGCTGCAGGGCCTTGCGGGGCCGCCGCCGCGCCGCCGCCGCGCCTCGTCGTCGCTGCCCGGCCCGACGGGGGCCGTCCGTACCATCGTCGGCGTCGCCGGCGTCGTCGGCGTCCTCTTCCCGTGTCGCCTCCTCCGTCTCGCCTGCGTCCTCCTCCTCCTCCTCGCCGTCCCCCGCCCCTCTCTTGCCCCAGCCCCCGCCCCTGCCTTCCCAATCTCCCCTCCCCCTCCTGCCCCCTCTCCGGCTCAGCCTCGGCTTCACCTTGAGCCCACATCCGCCGACCCAGCCCCCCCTCCTCCCTCCACCTCTTGCTTCTTCTTCTTCTTCTTCTTATTCTTCCTTTGCTTCCGTCACCCCTCCCTTTTTTACTCTCGCAGTCAGCGTCTGGATCTCTCCTGGAGAGCTTTCAGATCAAGATCTCGAAACTCATCCAAACATGGCGGCGACGGCTCCTTCCCCCAGAGGCCAAATAGAACCCCCGAGCGCCCAAATGCTTTTCCCATTTTTTCCGTCCATCCTCCTTTTAGATCACTCTCGCTGTCGCACCACCAAGCGTGTCGTCAGGGTGCAGGGTGGGCTAGGAGCTTCGCCTGAACATTCTCCGCAATGTACGCCATGAGAGCTTGAATTTGCCAGCGGTCACGGATCGAGGGCGGGCCATTTTTAAAAAGGGGCTCTCGCCTCAGCGCCGCACGCGCTCGCCTTAAAGCCTGAAATCATCCAACAGTGACATGGATGGATGGCGGTTCCTTGTCAACATGGGACCCTGGCATTCGCACTGCGCACACTCGTTTCGTTCCCGGCAACGACACGGATGGAACGCGTCTCGTTTTCAAAATCATGGTTCCTTGGCGCCGTGCGAACTCGTAGTCAGTCCAATAACTACGTTCGTATTTTACAAGGTGTTGTCGCCTTGCGTTGCCGCTGTGCTCGCTCGTCTTAAGCACATCCAGCAGATACGCGGATGGAGCTGGTTCCCCTATCAACACGTCACTCTCGCCTGGCATTTCCCCAACGTGTACCACAACAACCTTAGCATTGTGCAGCAACTACACAAATGCTGGGCGGTCCCTTTTCTAGAAAGGGTGCAGGCTTGAGACGTCCGGCAATGCACGACCATACGTCAAATTTGTGCAACGCCTACCTGGATTGGGGGCTGCTCTTTCCCCTCATATCCTAAGATGTGGTTCCGTTTGTCCCCCCAATCTGTTGTCATGGAGTTACTGTGCCCCATATCCTTGAGTTGGTTTCTTGTGTTTCTTCTGTCATTAGATGGGGTCTTGGAATTTCCCATCTCATAACCAGGGTTTGTGTTTTTTTCAGAGACGGCTCCGGGCACACACAAACCCACTCCTCCTACTTACCGTTTCCTCTTCCGCCTCTTCCTCGGCCATAGTGCCTCAGTCGCACTCGGGCTCAGGCATACTCAATCGTACTCAGACTCGCTCACTCTCAAGCCCACTTAGATTCATACTTATCCATGCTCTGACCCACTCACACTCAGAGCCGCTCGAAATCTGACTCACTCGCACTTAGACTCACTCATACTGAGACTCGCGTCACTTTGGCTCGCCCGCAGTCAGGCTCAGTCAAACTTGCACTCACCCGCTTGTGTTCAGAAGCTCAGACAATATCAAAATCGTACTCCTCTCACACTCCGACTCAGGCTCATCCTCATTGGTGGTCCAGTGCGATAAAACAGACGTAGCACTTGGACACCCGAAGCAGGGGGCACCAGGGGTACTCATACGTACGCATACATGCTCGCTCATTTTCAAGCTCGCTCAATGTCATATTCGCCCGCGCCCAAGCCAACTCACAATTAGAATCGCCCGCGCTCAGGCTCACCAGCCCTCAGCCTCACCCATACTCGGGCTACCTCGCACCCAGGCTCGTTCATATTCAGATTTGTGCTCATCACGAACAAACTCAGCCTCACCCACAGTCATACTCATCGCACACAGGCCGACTCGCACCCAAACTCGCTCATTTTCGACGCGTTCATCCGCCACCGTGCCGCTGGGCACGGAGTCGGCGTGTCCTCAAGTCCTGAGACGGCCCCCAAGACGGCTCACGACGGCCCCACATGGCACCAAGGCGGGGCCCTGATGGGGAACCCGAACGGACATTTAGAGCCCTCGGCCCCGTGGGGCCCCCAGGAAGCCCCAAGACGTACCGGGGAATCCCGCCAGAGGCCCCCAAGAGGCCCCCAAGAAACCCCAAGAGGTCGCAAGAGGCACCCGAGAACCCCCCAAGACACTCGCTCAGACCAACTCGTACTCACACTGGCTATATCCAGATTCACGCACAAGGGCGCCGCGAGTAGCAAGTCAGAGAGCGGGCGTACCAACGCCATGCGCGCTTTCCTGAGTTGCTGCGGGGAACAAGCAGCACGACAAGAGGAACTCCCCTTCGCTCTTCCATTTGTGTTTCCTCGTCTCCCGCCTCCCGTCTCCCTAGAGAGATGTCCAGAGGAGGAGGACGTCACTGAAGTCGTCGCTGTCGTCGTCGTCGTAGTTGCCGCGCCTGGCGTCTACGCGGGCTCGCTCTCGCACCCATATGCTCATGGACAGAGCTCCTCAGCGCAACGTGGCAGGAGTATGGGATGCACTTGTGGGGTCTCTGCGTAGACTAATTTCAAAGCGGGGCTGCGCTGGGCACGCCTTTCTAATGTTTGGACACGGCCGTGGCGGGAGGTGTACTGCAGCCTCTTGGATGCATCTTGGGCTTACTCTGGGTCCTCCCCTTCTACCTCTTCCCTCTCCACCTCCTCCACCCCCTCCTCCTCCTCCTCCTCCTCCTCCTCCTTCTCCTCCTCCTCCTCCTCCTCCTCCTCTTCCTTCTCCTCCTCCTCATTCTTCTCCCCTCTTCCTCCTTCTCTTCCTCCTTCTCGTCCGCCTCGTCGTTCCTTCCCTCCTTCTGCTCCCCCTCCTCCTCTTCATCCTCATCTTTCTCCTCCTCCTCCTCCTCCTCCTCCTCCTCCTCACTCTCTCGGAACGCATTCTGACCAGGACTTCGAGGCGGACCCACCCGTGGCGACAAGGGAACCCCGCCTATGGGCCCAACAAAAGAAGGGGAACGGGTAGGCTCCCCGTTCCCCTCCTCGTCGACTCGACTGCGCCTGCACTTCGTGCCCCTCCTCGTCCATCATCCCCTCTCCCCGCTCCTCCTCCCCCCCTTCCCCCGCCCATCGCACATCGCGCCGCCCCCCCAGGGAAGTGCGGGTGGATGGACGACGCTTCCGCACGCCTCCCATGCACGATCGCGGCGACGACGCCGGCAACGGCGGCGACGGCGCCTACGATGACGGCGGAAGCTAACTGAGCAAAACGCTCCACCCGCATAATTTCGGTGGCCCGCGCAAATTCCCTGGACCGACGCTGGACACCCCTTCCCCTGCCGTCGCTCGGACGTCCATTTCCCGGGCATTTTTCGGCTTCGTGCGTGTCTTTTTTGCTCGATGTTCCAGGATGGTCCTCGATGGTTCTCGCCGAGAAAACATGCAGACGTCCGAGCAATGCCAAGTTCTTCCTGGCGCGGCGCCACAGCCTTTGCCAGGGCCCCCCCCTGGCGCCGACCCGAGACATCCGCGCGGAGCTCCAGAAGTTCCTGTCCCTGCGGTTTCCGTTCCTCGCTGCGGGGCGGCGGTGGCGGCGACGATGGCGGCGGCGACGGCGGCGACGGGGCCTCGGAGCCCATCGCCCACCGCGCTGCCTCCCCGAGGAGGGCGGCCGCCGGCCCGCCCCAGCGCACCAGGCACCAGGCCAGGAGGCAGCACAGCGGGAGCGCCGGCGCGGAGCTGCCACTGAGGCCGCCGATCTGCGATGGGGGTGGCGATCGTCGCCGCCGCCGACGCCGCTGCCCGTGAAGGACTTCACGTTTTCTGCGGTTCCTCGACTCGCGGTGGAGCTTCCCCGATTTCTCCCGATCTGTCTGGATCTCACTGAGTTCACCCAGTTCACCAAGATTTGCACGGATTCGCACCGATTTACCTGGAATTGCCTCGATCTTTCTAGCTTGATTGATTCCCGATAATCGATCGAGAAGAGTCGTCAAGCCCTCGTCGTCGTCGTTGTCGCAATTATCGCCGTCGCCGTCGCGCCTCCGCGCGCGCAACCACGCGCGCAAGCGCGCGGGGTGGGCGGGGAAGGGGAGGAGGAGGAACAGGAGGAGGAGGATGAGGAGAAGGAGAAGGAGGTGGGATTGTGATGGTGATGGTGATGGTGATGGTGATGATGATGATGGTGATGGTGATGGTGATGGTGATGGTGATGGTGATGATGATGATGATGATGATGATGATGATGATGATGATGATGATGATGATGATGATGATGATGATGATGATGATGATGATGATAATGATGATAACGATAATGGGAGGAGGAAGAGGAGGAGCCCTCTATTTTCTCTCTCCCCCCCTCCGCGCGCCACGCGTGGGGCGGCGGCGGTGGACGCTGCATTGCAGCAGTCTTCGTGCCAGAGGGCAAACTGTATCCCCAAGAGCCAGGGGACTACGAAAATCGATGGCCCCACAAGGGCAACATAACACCAGAAATAACTGCATGCTGCCGCCGCGCCCAAACGCACCGCGATCTTTGGCACAGGAAAACAGGGCACACGGCATCGCCTGCCAAACCGTCCGCCAACGCGGGGGCAATAACAACGCTGCTAGTGAAATCTCCACGAGACTGCGCGCGAGGAGTATATCTCCTGGCAGCGGGCGAAACAAACAACTTCTCAGAGGCGGCTCATTCGTGGGCCAGGTGCCCTCCCCGCCCCTCCTCCTCTTACCTTTCCCTACGCTTTCCTTGTGGCACGCCCCTCACACGATTCGTGTCTCCATATGGGGACTCCACCGAAGGCCCCAGTGGCAAAGTTCGCAGGCGGCTCCCCGCCCATTTTGGCACACCCCTCACACGTTTCGTAGCCCCATGGGGAGATCAACCGACGGCCCTAGTGAGAAAGTTCGCCTGCGGCTCCCCGTACATCTTAACAATCCCCTCACACGTTCCGTGGCCCCAAAGAGAGCTCCACCGAAGGTCCCAATGGCAAAGTTCGCATGCGGGTCCCCGCCCATCCCGGCACACACCTCACACTCTTCGTGGCTCCATGGGGGGCTCCACCTGAGGCCCCAGTGGCAAAGTTCGCATGCGGTTGCGCGCCCATTTTGGAACTCCCCTCACGCGTTTCGTGGGCCCATGGGGAACTCCATCGAAACCTCCAACGGCAAAGTTCGCATGTGGCTCCCCGCCTTCCAGCACACCCCTCATATGTTTCGCGGCCCAGCAACGGGGCTCGACCGAAGGCCCCAGTGGCAAAGTTCGCGTGTCGTTTCCCGCCCATTGTGGCACTCCCCTCACACGCTTCGTGGGCCCATGGGGAACCCCCACCGACTGCCCCAACGGCAAAGTGCGCATGCGGTTCCCCGCCGACCCCAGCACACCCTTCACGCGTTTCGCAGCCCCATACTTGCAAGGGGGCTCCACCTGAGGCCCCAGTGGCGTGGTTAGCGTGCGGCTCCCCGCCCCTGCCAGCACACCCCTCACACGTTTCGCGGCCCCACAGTGAGCGCTGCCACAGCGCGGCACTCAAAACTGCATATGGCTGGGTCCTTCGCCTGGCTATATTTTTTTGGGGGGGGGATCAGAGGGTCTTTGTCCTCCCAAGATGGCTCCAAGAGGGCGGCCGATGCTACAAAATGGCCTCCAAAATGGCTCCTGATAGCCGAAGATGACTCAAGGCAACTTCCGACATGCCATCAAGAAATTTAAAGAGGACCATTAGACGGTTTTAAGCGCTTCCGGAAAACCTTCAGGACCCCCATCCCGAGAGGTCCGAACAACACAATCAAGCACCAGATGGAAATCAATGTTTTTGTGTTCTCGCCGTTTCGCTTCCGATTTGCTTCTGAAACCTCAAGGTGACTCCAGGATGGCCCAAGGGAGCAGCAAGAGGGGCCCAACCGGCCCTTCCAAACTGCCCCAAGAGCGCCCCAAGAGGGCCCCAAAGGCAAACTTGCGGACCCCATGGGGGGGAAGTATAGGATCCCAAGAGGCCCTCGAGAGAGCTCCCAGCACGTTCAGAATCCTTGCCCATGAGAGCTGACAGGAAAAGGGACGAAGAGACTCATGTATAGGGAAACAAAGCGGGCAACCAGGATGAACAGAGCGATCTCTGGGAGCAAGGGGGTCGCCTTGGAGGGCATCTTCGGGCCATCCCTGGGGCTCGCGGGGGGTGATGGGAGGAGGAGGAGGAGGAGGAGGAGGAGGAGGAGGAGGAGGAGGAGGAGGAGGAGGAGGAAGAGGAGGAGGAGGCGGAGGCGGAGGCGGAGGAGGAGGAGGAGGAGGAGGAGGAGGAGGAGGAGGAGGAGGAGGAGGAGGAGGAGGAGGAGGAGGAGGAGGGGGAGGCAAACCGCCTCTTGGGTGGGACAGTCTTGGGAGGTAATTGGGGCCCTCTCAATGCCGCTTCGGGGCCCTCTATACGAGAAGCGTAAATCATTGGCGCAACCTTTCTCCAGGACGTCCCCAACGCAGCCCACGCGGATTCCTGGACTGCCCAGGACGGCCTGCAGAGAGGCCCGAGCTGGCCCGTGAGGGCCTCCAGCAAACCCTCGGCGGCCTTAGCGAGCCCCTCGCCGGCCAAGACGGCTCAGAGAAAGCCCCTAAGAGACCCCCCAAGCAGCCACGACGTCCCCCAATACGGCCAAAGGGAGCTCCACGATGGCCCAAGGGGGCCCACGAGAACTCGCAGACTGCCCCCACATGAGCCCAAGAACGGACGGACTAATGGGCTGACGACGGCGAACACGAGAAGAGTGTGCCACACGTTACGGCTCCCCCAAGCCTCGGGACACGAGGTGCCACAAGTTACGTCCTCCTGCGTGCCCTCGAACAAAGCGCCATCCAAAGTGCTGGGCTGGCACGATGGCGGAACTTGCCGCAGGCAGCTGGACGTTGGACAATCTTGGCATCCTTGTCAGCCACTGTGGCCGCCCAATCGGTCATCTCGGGCCATCTTTACTGTGCTCTTTTTTAATGGCAAGATCCATACACATTGCACGGATGTCAATATGACGTGAGACGGAAAACACCGCCGGGCAACCGGGGAACGCCACACGAGAAGGCAGCGCCAGCGAGGCAAAGGAGGGGGGGGGAAAGGAGAGAGGAGGGGCGCCATTGGCCCGTCGAGGAGCACCTGTCTTGCGTGGGACGCCATGGGCCGTCCAGGATCACTGTCATTGTCTGTCAAGGAACATAAAACGTATTTATTGTGTGGGCCGCCATTGTCCGTCAAGGAACATCTTTATTCGCTGGGTGGGGCGCCATTGGTCCGTCGAGGAGCATCTTTCTTGCGTGGGGCGCCGCTGGCCGTCGAGGAGCACTGCCGATGTCGGGCGAGGCGCGTCCCGACGCACTCTGCGGACGTGGGGGGGCGACTGGAGGGGCTGGCCCCTTCTCGTACGGGTCTGGGTGCCCCCTCCCTTTGCTCGCAGGGGGGGGGAGAGGAACACTGTCGAAACATAACCAAAACATATCAAAACACAATCAAAACATCCGCCGACCCTGTCGGCGTGTGGTGCTACCCGCCCTTTCCCTGAGCCCTCCCCCTCCTCCTCAAGCGCGCCAACCAAAACGACAATGAGCAACGTCGTAAATGCGTCGACGGGAAGCCCCTTCCCTTTGATCCCTTCCCCGCCGGGGGGGGGGGTCCCGGAGGGGGGTCCCGGGGGGGGTGCCGGGGGGGGTCGCCACCCGGATACGCATCCCCCGTTTGCGGCTTATACAAAGGGGCCCTCTGTAGATGCGCTGGAGGAGGGGGGTCGCCACGACGGATCCGCAAGAGCGCCCCTAGACGGCCCCAGCCCAAGAACCCTTAAGAACGGCCAAAAGGAGCCCCCAGACGGGTCAAAAGAGTGCCAAAAGGACTCTGAAAAAGGCCCGGAGAGGCCTTCTCCTCCTCCTCCTCCGCCTCCTGCTCCTGCTCCTCCTCCTCCTCCTCCTCCTCCCCAACCTCCCCTGCTCCCCCTCCTCCTGCTCATCCTCTGCCTCCTCCTCCTCCTCCTTCTCCTGCTCCTCCTCCTCATCCTTCCCCCCCTCCTCCTCCCTCACTACTCCCCCCCCTACTCCTTCTCCTCCTACTCCTCCTCCTCCTCCTCCTGCGCCTCCTACGCCCCCACGCTCGTTTTCATCTTCGTCGTCTTCAGGGTCGGCGGCACCGGCCGTAAGGCCTTCGCAATAAGCAAAAATAGTCAAATCTTCAAGAATGGTCAAAACATAGTCTGGGGACGATTTGTTTTACTATTCTCTAGTATTTTGGGGTAGTTTTGTTTGAGCCCAGTGTGGTCCGAAATGGGCCCAACATGTGCCCACAATGGCCCAGGTCAGGGCTGGACCTAAACGTTGCTTCTCGTGCTGTCTTCGTGTTGTTGTTCGCTGTGCTCTCCCTGTGCTCCCGTATCTCCCTGCCAAAACGGGAAACCAAACACAGGCGAAGTCCAACAAAACAGCGTTTAGGTCCAGCCTTGGCCTAGGTGGCCTCCAACACGGCATGAGTTAGTCCAAGTCAGGGCAAGATTGCGTCCACAGTGCTGCCCAGAGAACGTGATATGTCCCCAAGGCGACTCCCATGGGCTGCCAGGCCTTTCCTTGGTACATCCTGCCCGGAAGAGGGTTGCGTACTCTCCTGTTTGCGCCCGTTGGGCTTCCGAGGACTCCAGGTCGCCACAGCATGGCCCCAGCAAGAGCCTGCAAGAGCCCCAAGAGGGACCTGCAAGCCCTGATGAGACTCCAACCAGGCCCTCAAGAGGCGATGTATGGGGGACGATGGGGGAAGGCCGTTTGACGCATTCCTGTTCTTCGGCTGGTGGCCTCCAGGATGGCTCCACCTCAGGTAGCCCCCATCGAGCCTCAAGAGAGCCTCACATGCTGCCAACAGCACCCCAATAGGGACCCATGGGGTACGCGACGTGTCAAACATTGACCACTGCTGGGGGCTGCTCGGACCGACTCCAGCTTAGCCTCAGCTTCGGCTTTGCTCAACTCCTGCCCATCCTGCCCTTCTCGCAACAATTCGCATGCCACAAAAGCTAGTGAACATTCGCGAAACGTCAAGAGCAACTAACCGGATGACTTTCGCACACACGCACATGGGTATGCATCGCATACTCACGCACATCTAACACATTGTTGTGCGATGGCCACGTGAAAACAAACCAGCGCGCGTATAAAGTACACACATATACATAGCTACGCACACATACCTATACGACCACCCTGCGGGTGATAAGGAGGTTGGGGGGGGAAGGGGCCCAGCAATGGGCAACAGTGGTGAATGTTGTTGTGACAATGCCAGTGGAGATAGTTGCGTTGATGCTCGCTCTTGGGAGCGTTGGTGTCGAGTTGTTTACGTCACCCTTTGCTCTTTGGCGCCGAGGGCCCCCGGGCCCGCAAGGCCCCTGGGACACCCGCACCAAGGCCCCTGGGACACCCGAGCCCCCCGGACCCCGACCCAACGTGCTCGGGGCCCTGCCTGTCGACGGCGGTCGCGCAAGGCACGACCAACAGCCGCGAGTCTACGTCGTCATCATCATCATCGACATCACCATCAACATCATCATCATCAACATCATCATCATCGTATTCATCAGGATCATCAGCATCACCATCATCATCATCATCATCATCATCATCATCATCATCATCATCATCAATGTCGTCATCATAATCACAAACATCAACACCATGAAGGCCATCATCACCAGCAGCATCGCACAATCGATCTCACATTCGGTCTCACTACCGATATCACAATCGATCTCACAATCGACGTCATCATCATCATCATCATCATCATCATCATCATCAACATCAACATCAACATCATCATCATCATCATCATCATCATCATCATCGCCATCATCAACATCATCATCATCACCATCATCATCATCATCACCATCATCATCAGAATCATCATCATAATCATCATCAACATCATCATCGGGACACCGACGGGACACGGACGGGACACCGGCGGAACACCGGCGGGACACCGCGCCGCCCCGGCCGCCCGGAAGGGAATCATTTCGTCCGGCCGCGCCTCAGCCACACGGGACACCAGCGGGACACCGGCGGGACACCGCGGGCCACCGGCCGCCCGGAAGGGAGTCATGTGGTCCGGCCGCGCCTCAGCCACACGGGACACTAGCGGGACACCGGCGGGACACCGCGGGCCCCCGGCCGCCTTGAAGGGAGTCATTTGGTCCGGCCGCGCCTCAGCCACAGGAGACTTTCTCTCGCCCGCCCACGCAGCTTCGCCTCGCCCGCACGGCACGCACGAACACGAAACCGAAATCGATTTCCCGGTAGGGGGGCTCTCCGTTCCACTTCGATCTCACCCCCAACCTCCGATACACATTTACACATGCTTGTGCACACGTTTATACGTGAATCCAGATACAGGTATACGTTTACATACCTGTATTTGTACATCAACCGCCCTATGAGGATATACACATGTCCCACTAGGCATCATGGCGAAAATCGCAGCGCACTCTACTTTTGTTTCTTGCAACTCGGCTCATGTTGCTTCATTGCTCGCCGCTTCTCACGAAACGGCCGTGCTTCTGGTCTAGGAGCGTTTCGACACAATTCGCTCCCACACCGCTTTTCTTCTTCCCGTTTACCGTGTTTCTCCTCCCATGCGCGCAGGTGCTCCGCGTCGTAATTTTTGTAGCAGAAGCAAACATAGCTGCCCGTCGCGCTGGACTCTGGATCGAGTGCGTCCTGTAACACGTGCTGAGCACCTTCCGCAACCTCTACAGGCGCCTGGTCACCGCCCATGTCCGTGCAGACCCAACCAGGGCAAGTGACGTTCACCCGCACGCTTTTGTGTTTCAAGCGACCGTCGACGGCTAGTATTTCGGCGGCGCGACGCACCAACGCTTTCGAGAACCCATAAGGGCCCATCCAAGTGCTCTCTGATGTCAAAACGTCTACAGACAGGCTCGCAACGTTGTCAAGGTCAGGAATGCTCTGTGCTCGTGCGAGCAAGCGCCGGTATTTCGGCGACAACATGTCGAAATTCCCCAAACTGGAACCGACAATCACCACAGACGCCCGGTCAACCAAGAACGGTACCAACGCCTCCGTCAGCAAAACGGGGCCCGCGTAGTTCACGGCGCGGCTATCTGACCAAGCCTCTGCGTCCCACCAACCGTACGAGTTACCCGCGTTGTTGACCAGTAGATCGAGCTTCGAGCCCCCAAGCCAGGCCTTGATCTGAGCCGCCGCCGAAGCTACCGCGGGGCCACCCTCCGCAAAATCGAGCTGAATGGGCGCGCAATTGCTGCGTCCGAGGGACTGCGCGGTCCGCTCGGCGTCGGCCAGACGGCGGCACACGGCGGCAACCCGGAAGCCCCGGCGCGCCAGCCGCTGCGCAATCTCAAGGCCCAGCCCACGACTGCATCCCGTGACCACGGCACGGCGCGGCGTGTAGGTGAGGGGTAACGATGAGTGGGGGACTGGCTCAGGGGGGGAAGCATCGAGCTCGAATCGGCGATGCGTCGCTGATAGATCGGCGATAAAAGGCCCCCGATGGCGAATCCGCACGGTCCCGCGCGGGCTTCCGGGCCCCCATCGCTGATCCATGGGCGATTGGGGGTCGATGCATTTCCCACTATGGGCCCAGTCCCCCTGCCGCTGAGCAGGGGGGTACGTCAACACTTGCGAGCGAAGGGCTCCCGCGAACAGCCATCTGCACCAAATCGGTTCGGGCCGAAACGACTACGGAAAAGGCTGCCCGACGCGTGCCGGCATGCCGCGGACGTTCAGCGCGAGAGGGGGCGCGCGCCCCGCGACGGACACGACTCGATCCATAATTCCCCGACGCCTCCTGCCAGTGGAGGAGGAGGAGGAGGGGGAGGAGGAGGGGGAGGAGGGGGAGGAGGAGGAGGAGGAGGAGGAGGAGGAGGAGGAGGAGGAGGAGGAGGAGTAGGAGTCAAGCTAGCCAGCTCGAGCGAGTCAAGCATGGCATGCCCATTCCTACCCGCCCTCCCACAACATAAGAAACAGTGATGGCACAACTGGGGGCTGCGCGGGCATTTCAGTGTCGCAGGTCCCAGAGCGCTGACTTCCAGGTCCCAGAGCGCCCCAGGAACGCCCCAAGAGAGCCGAGACGCCCCCGAGACGATCTGAGGGGCCTTGAGTCGCCGAAAGATCGTTCCAAGACGCCCAAGATGGCCTCCAGACGGCCGCAGACGCCGCCAAGAAACCGCGGGGAGCCTCAGGAGGCCCTCCAAGAGCCTGGACAAGCAAAAACCTCCCAGGCATTCGTCACCCCAGGGCCTCCTGGAACGCCCCGGCGCCAATGAATTGGCGAGCTAAAAACGTGCGCCGAGTCAAAGCGGGAGCGCAACTTTGAGAAAATTTCGCTCGGCGCCCAAGCGGGAAGGTCATTTCATTCACTTCGAGCGGGGGGGGGGTGCAGCGCCCAATTCTTGCCATGCACTTTTGCGGGGTGGGCGACAAGAACAGCTATGTGGGCAGGGAAAATCAGCATGGCATTGTTTCTGACAAGTAAGGTGGCCCCTCCCGCCTTGGGGTTGCCCCAGAAGTCCGCGCGCGATGTGCGCCGCGCCCCACTCCTGCCACGCATTTCGCATCGTCGACGACAAGACAGGCCATGATGAAAGGAAAAACGGCAACTCTGCATTGTTTTTTACAGTCAGGATGGGAGGGCCCGCGGCCCGCATGGACGTCCGCGCGCGATGTGCGCCGCGTCCCATTCCTGCCACATATTTTGCACCGTCGGCGACAAGGCAGGCCATGCTGAGAGGAAACAAACGGAGACTTTGTATGGATATTTTACAGTCAGGATGGGCGGGCCCGGATTGACGGCCGCGCGCGATGTGCGCCGCGTCCCATATGTGCGCCGCGTCCCATTGCTGCCACATCTTTCGCACCGTCGGCGACAAGGCAGGGCATGCTGAGAGGAAAAAACGAAGACTTTGTATTGATTTTTTCAGTCAGGACGAGCGGGCCCAGATTGACTGCCGCGCGCGATGCGCGCCGCGTCCCATTCCTGCCACGCTTTTCGCATCGTCGACGACAAGAAAGAAAATGTTGAGAAGAAAAGCGGCCACTTTGTATTGATCTTTTACAATCCGGATGGGAGGTCCCGGATTGGGTCGCTATCGGCCGGAATACGACGTAGGTGGGGGTATATAATAATAAAGAGCAAGGATAGGAGTAGGAGGAGGAGGAGGAGGAGGAGGAGGAGGAGGAGGAGGAGGAGGAGGAGGAGGAGAAGAAGGAGGAGGCGGCCCAAGCGTCGGGACGGCCGGCTGCCGGGCCGGCTGCCTGGGCCGCCTACCCCGGCCAGGAGCAACTTGCGCCCCCAGAAGCAGGCGGAGGCGCAGGCCGCCTTCGGAGCTGCCAGCGGCGTTGCCGCAGCTGCTGCTGCTGCCGCAGCTGCTGCTCCGGGGGCAGCAGCGGGCAGAGCAGAAGGACAGGGGGGGAGACGCGAACCGAGGAGGGAGGAGGTTCAGTACGGGGAGATGCAGCGCATGAAATTCTGGGATTTGCTGCCCTGGGACCGCCTGCACGACACGGTGTGCAGTGGCCGCGTGGTTCCAGGGGCCATCCGGTGCGCGGTGGCCGACCTGCGCAAGGCCCTGTGCGACGCCATGTTCGCGGCCACCACGGAGCAGGAGCAAGCGCTGCTTCTGAAGGCGGTTCTCTTCTCGGACCGCCTGCTCTTCGCCGCTGCGCGCAGGCGTCGAGGAGTGGCGCGGGGCCAGGGCCAGAGGGGCGAAACCCTGGCCCGGACCCTGGCGGGGCGCATCCGGCTAGCGTGGGAAGGCTGTTGGGACATCCTTTGCCAGGAGTCCGGGGTCCCAACAGGGGAGTTCGGAGCCGCGGCGCCGTCCGAGGCACGGCAGCTGGCCCGGGACATCCGGAGCATCAACGAGGCTCTGGCGGAGGAAGACATCCGAGAGGCCCTCAGAGTCGTGGGCGGACGGGCCCAGATGGCCTCCGACAGCAAGGCCCCGCGGTGCCTCCGCGACCTTTTCCATGCGGGCGGCCGCGCAGCCTGCCCTGATGGCGGCGGATCCGGAGGAGGAGGACGTAGACCGCTTCTTGGGGGGGGGGCCAGGCGGCACGAGGAACGAGCACTGGGCGTGGCTGCCTCGCCACGCGGCTGCGTGGGAGAGTTTCCAGCGTGTGGCCCTGCGGCTGCAGCTCGGCCGGGCCCCCAGGGAGGCGCACGGACCCTGGCTGTCCTGGCAGGGGACGGGGAGGAAAAACGCAAGGTGCGACCCCTCGCGCTGGGGAGCGTCCACAGGCGCGCCGCCTCGAAGGCCGTCCGCCGGATGTTCACTGGCAGGGTGGCCGCGGCGACGGGGCAGAACGAGTAATACTCAATGGGAAGCGCCCGGGGGGCAGAACGCATGCACAGAGCGCCGCGCTGCTGCAAACTCCGCCTGGACGTGAGCAGCGCCCACAACGAATTCGACCGGGCGGCCGCGGCGACGGCGGTGTCGACCTTGGTCCCGGACCTGCTGCCCTGGGCGCGCCTGGGCTTGTGCGCGGCTGCCACGCACGTGCACGTGGCGTGCGACGGCACGCGGATCTTACTCCCGAAGGAGCGCGGCGGGGACCAGGGAAGCGCCCTCACCAATCAGGTGCTCCCCCTGTGTTACCTCTGGGTGGCCGGCGCCGTGGAGCAGGCAGCAACGGCCGCGGCGGAACCGGGGAGGGGGTGCTGCTAGCAAGACGACCTCGACGTCATGTGTGACCCCTCCAGAGCCCCAGCCGCCGAGGAAGCTTTCGCGCGCGCCTGCGCCGCGGTAGGCCTCGGCGGCAACCTGGCCAAGACCAAGCTGAACCCAGGCCGGGAGGTCGACGTGGCGGCGCTCCCTGGCGGCGCGAGCTGGAACCCCGGGCCCTGGTACTCCGCCACGGCGCAATGCCGACGGTCCCAGCGACCCCCGCTGCTGCGCCGGCGGAAGGGAGCCGAGGATCCTCGCCGAGGGCAGCCCCGAGGTGTCGGCGCTGCAGACAGCCCGAGGGAGGCTCCACCAGAGGCTACGCACTCTCTGCGCGGCGGGCCTAGAGAAGCACCTGGCGCCCACCCTCCTGCGCACGATCCGAGGACGGGCTCTGACTTCGCGTTCCTGGCGCGCACCTGCGGCATCCCGAAAAGGGAGGCGCGGGCTCTGGCCGCGGAGTACGCGCGCGCTCTGGGAGACCCGGTGGACGACGCCGCGTGCAGGAAACTCTTCCTCGCCGCCGCCGCTGGATACTGCGTGCTGCAGAGCGCGGAGCTCGCGGCCCCCGCGGCGAGCGCAGCCTCCTGGCACCTCTGCGGCGGCTCGGCCTGGAGAGCGCCGCCGCCTTGGCAGAGCGCTGAGCCCCTGGGCGCGCCGCGCCTTGCCTGCGGCCACGGCGACGCGCCGGGTTGGGCTAGGGGACGACACCGCCCACGTGGGCGACGAGGCACTGGCAGCTACGCAGCACACCGTGGCTACGGCCTCCCTCGCTGCGGCTGCCCGCCTCGCCGCCGACGAAGCGGCCTCGGACCCCTCGGCGGCGACCGCCCTGCGCTCCGCGGGGGGGCCAGGAACGACCGCACTCCTGCAGGTGCCGACGCTGCCCTGCCACCGGCTGACGAACGCGCAGTTAGACATTGCGCTGCGGGTCCGGCTCCACCTCGACCTGCTTTGGCTGCGCGGGCCCCGCGCAGGCGGCAGGCGCTGCTGGGCCGTGACAGGCGAGGCTGTGCCAGCACCGGCACCCAGAATCTGCGGCGCGCCGATGGGCCCCAAGGAGCGGCACGCGCGCGGCTGCAAGGTGGGCGGATGGCTGGTCCGCCGCCACGACGCGGGCTGCGCGGCGCTCGCAGAGTGCACGGTGCGAGGAACAGGGGTGCGCCGGGCACCGAGAAGTCATCCTCCCTCACGCCGCGCCGGAGAGCCCTGAGGCGCGGATGGACCTCGTCGTCCACGCCTCGCGCCTCGCTGAGCCGCACATGGTCGACCTGACTGTGGTGAGCGCGCTCACGCAGGACGCGCGGC